CAGGCTCCTTTCTTCAACAGCAGCTGGTAATCGAGCCTATTTTGTTTACAAGGTATCCTTTAGGCGCCAAATAAAGCTCAAGCCACACCCAGATTGGTATCCTTTAGGGTTTTGATTTAAAATTTCTGACGAGCATCTCAGACTTTTTCTCCAGGGTTATCACATACTATAATAATCTCAGCAGCCAATGCGACGCCTTGAAAGAAGTCGTCCCTGTTATGAACACAACTTGTCTGAGGCAGTTGCAAAAATATAGCCTGAAAAAATGCAGGCATGAAAGGGATTTGAAGGCATCACCTTGGTCTGTGATACCAATGAAGTGTTCTATCTACCAAACCAAGTGAGAGCTGGACAGTTTGAAATTTCATCATAAACCCGTAGACGCAAAGAAAAGTGAATATATGACATAGCCTTTCCCCGCATAATATATCATTTTTCTTATATCCGCTTGCTTGTAATATTTTAAATAATATGTATCTAGGTAATCGTATGACTGCGAATTTAATTAGGGATTTACATTACGAGGGATATTTAAAACTTCTCTCAAAATTGCACCTTTAGCCTTTAGGCAAGTGTAGTTTGAAAGAATTTTCAAATATCACGAGTAGTGCAAATCCTTCACTGCTCGAGGTTTCATTCGATTACTCATTTTTTATATGACAGAGAAAATAGCGAATGCACTCTCGTTAATTTGCACTGCAGTGCAAATAAAAAATTAACTATAAATTTGCCTGCTCCCAGCCAATCACAATGAAGTAATTTTCTCAGTCGTATAATAATTAAAAACTATTTGTAAACGTATTAACTTACTAGAAAATGATTGTTATACTTTAAGTGATTTCACAGTAAAATTTTTATCATTTGATCCTTGCCAAGGATGGCGTCTCAGTCATATACATATTGCATAACCTGGCTAGAAAATTATTTCCACTGACGGGGTTGATGAGGAGACACCATGCTACTGAGCTGTAAATACGAACTGACGGTCCAAAACACTTAAAGAACTTGTAACACTTAGTAAATGATGAAAGTTGTGGCGCTGCGGATGTAGTATTCAAGGAGAAATTGGCTTTCAAAAAACTACAAAATTTCTGTGAGGCAAACACACAAATGAGCTCATACATTCTGTAAATTTGGGGTTTTTAAACCCCCTTTGCATAAGCAGTGTTTAATACATGAGCTCAAGTTTGGTCCTTGGGACTGGTTTATATCGTGCCATCCCCTTATTGCCTTATCCCCTTATGAGATTTTTTAGCTTGATCAGAAACTGAATCGCTTATGCCAATGAGGCAAATATTGTACACAAAGTGCCCTCTATAGGGTAAGATATTCAAAAATGAAAAATGGATCGTTCTGCTTTTGTTTACAGAAATTGCCAATTGCGAATCAGACATCGCCATTTTTGCGGAGCGTTGTGATCCAGCTACAAGACAGTGGCTTTTTGAAGATTTTGACAAATGGTTCAGTGACCCTGGTGACTCCAGAGCGTATGTTCTCTTAGGCGATCCAGGCGTTGGCAAGAGTGTGATGGCAGGAGTCC